TTACAAACAATTTTTAGCTCTCTTTGGATATTTTGTCTCGCTCGCAATATTGCATCCGGGTTGGAACTTGGGCACCATGATGACCTCAATACTTCCCGCACGACTACCCAGCTTGTTCTCAGTAATAAATCTGATAACCCAATCCAAATTCTCCTCTGCTAGCAGATTTCTGTGTAGAATGTGCAGTCACCTTTTTTTTTCAATACAAGTCCCACTTTGATTTTTTAACTTGCAATACTTATTAACGTTCCAGACATCCGGAACTTTAGTAACAATACTTGTTCATTATCTAGGTATCAATCAGTATAACTTCGTTGATGAAAGAGTTATAGGCAATTCCAAAACTCCCCATTTATAATGGCATGACTTCCTGATCGGTCCAAAGCTTTCGTTGGTTTTCCCATAGATTCTTTCGTGAGTCTAAGTTCTTTGATGAAAAATCTTCTGATCTGATCTATCTTCCTCCGAGTCTCCAAGTCTACTAGTTCTTTCATGTTCACCTTCAATGGCTTGCTCTGATGAATTTCCAGAAGTACTTGTATGAGTAACTGCCTTCCAGGGTCACTGTCCCTTTTCAGAACCTCGCACAGGTGTTCAACGTTGGTGCCGATATTTGCTCCAATATGAACCTGAGAAAACAGAGCGTCCTTACCGTTCCTTTGCATATTATCAGGTCCTGTAGATGAATTTTTTTAAACACTTTTTCCTCCTTTGGGCTTTTCCTTTCTTCCGAGCTGTTTTCTCCTATCGTCAATCTCGCCATGCACCAGGTGAGTCTGAGTTGCAACTCAGTACTGACATACGGTAGAGCTATCAGAGCATCTATTTTTGGGGTAATTCGCACTTGGTTGCTCAAAATGACATAACAATAATGCCCACTATGCTAAACCCGTGAGTTGGTCCACAGTTTCCGAGCGCTTTTACATTGATAATAGTGTTCCATAAGCTTTCTATTACATTTTCGTGTCCATGATGATGCCTTCTAGATGACACTCCAAGGTTACTTTGTTTTCTAGAACCATTAGATGCCCCTATTGCCGTACTCCTATTTTCCATCATTTCCATGTATCCATCGGTGGGCTCGTCTATCGTAACTGTCACCGATACTGTGTCAATCGGTTTTATTCAACCGGAGTTAGCTGTCCTATGACGCTTTTTTTCCCGTTGTTCATGCTCGAAGGCTTGAATTCCCCGAGGGTACTTTTACCACACTGATTCAAAATCTTTATCTCTAAAGTTGCTCCCCTAAGAATGCGGTCACCTTTTTGGTTTTTAGCTGGCTGATTTTATTCCTTTATCCTACGTCCGTCATCTTTGAAGTGCCTTGCGATCTGTCATTGCCATGTCTTATGATGACAGCTTTCTCTACTCGTTTTCTTTGTCATCACTGGTTGTTCAGGCGTCAACTTCGTTTTTCCAGCTTTCTTCCCATAACCTTGTTGCCCAATTTCATTTTCATGTCGTTGATCTTCTCAAACACTAGTTCGCGTCCTGGACAAATACACTACTTTGTCGTTGCTTGCTTTCTTGACAAGTCAGTTCGGACAGGAGAATTGGTTTGACTCTTATCGGTAGCAGAATCATTGAATATTTTGCTCATTTTTCTTCACACTCATCTAATTTTTCGAGGATTTCCTGCATCAGAGTTCTTTTGAGACATGTTTTCAGCAACTATTGGGTTCCGCAGCAGCACTGTATTATAGTCGAGATCTCCTAAATGCAAGCGACTCGATTCAGTTCACAGTCAGTCTTGTTTTCCTGATCACGGTGGTGAAATTCCCACTCTTCTTCCGGTAGAGTTGCAACGAAAGGTTATTGGGCTGCTTTCTCTATCTTTCTCGTGCGTTGTGATTCTGTCAAGAGCTTCGTTGTCCTTCTTCTAATTTTGTCAGGAGAGCTGCTTTCCAGCATATGACGAAATGTATTCATAAAGGCTGAGGGAGTTTCCATCTTGGAAGATTAGTTTTCCGCTGGTTCAGAAGACTAGTCTTCCGCCACTGTCTCCACTTCTTCGTACATATCGAGAAATTAAAATCCAGGACTGAAGTGCCACCTAATGATGCCCTAATTTTATCATCTTTTTCCGCTTGGTTGGGTCTTGATCCATCGGTTCTTCCGCTTGACGATCCTCCTGGTCTTCGCCCTCTTGTTTTCTATTCGGTTTTGATTCGAAAGGTCCTGGCTCATTGTCTTTTGTACTTTTAGCAGGGAGTTTAGACACTATCAACTCAGCAGCCGACTTGTCTTCATGCTCTTCGCTCAGCTTGAACTCAAATTCTTCCCAGCCAAATGGCCAAAGGGCATCTTTAGTCAAACACCTTCCACTCGTTACGATTTCCGCTCTAACAATTAGAATAATTAGCGCAGCTTCTTGAAGATCAACTGTTTTTATCCTTATGGTCGGCGTAAGATTCACTTTAGTCTATTCTCCATCGAACCTTCCGGGCTTGTGAGTCAGGGCATTGCTCATTCTCCTCCTAGACGCTTCCTCTAGGCACGCAACTTGAGTGCTATGCAACACGGCAGCGTTTCTGCCCACAAAACAAGGATCCAAGGAGCCAGAAATTTTTGCCATTCTTCCCTCATCGAGTTCATTTGCCCTCAGTCAGTTTGCGTATGTTATGGAGTCTGCTCCGAGCAATAGTCTTCGAAAAAGAGAATTTTTGTGTTTTCTTTCGGCACTTTCTTAAAGTCACCCCAATGTTCTGTTTCCTTTCTGATGCACTGCTAGCAATCTGTGGACTCTCGTTATCTTGCCGTCCGTTTTATGGTGGGGTCAGAGGTTCCACAACTTGGGAAATACTTCGATAAGTCCTCTTTCTACCTACCACATCCTATCACGGAAGTGGTTCTTGAAGTTGACGGCCTTCATTTCAGGTTCAGCTATTTTTCTAAATAACAATTCCTCACTCATGGCTTCACGCAAAAAATTTTGTGCATACCAATTGAGACTGATTCGTCGACTACTGAGATGTGGTTCAGGTGCAGCACCGACCTCCAGTACGTTGCTGACTTTAATTAAACGGGAAAAAAGTGCCCTTTTTTGTAAAAAAGAAAACTCACTCCCTACCTAAATTCATAATATTAGGTTTTTTTTTACACTTTTCACATTCTTGACAGAATTTAATGATCAGCTGTATCAAATGCTTTGTTTAGATTGAAAAACAATCATTTTCATCAAGTTTTTTATCTGTAGGGCTCTTCATGAGCTCTGTAAAAAAGTCGAAGCATGAAAACAAGATCCATTTGGCCGAAAACTAGTTTGTTGCGTTCATTTTTTGTTGCGTTCTCGCACGTTTTTTTTGCAATATAACATATTATGCTCAATTTTTTCTTAAAACTAGTTTTTCTAGAGACTCGCATTTTTCAAGTAAAGCTATCAAAAAATTGTAGTCGTAATTGAATCTCGAATGGAACAATTTTCGAATTTGTAGATACGTTCATCTAAGTCATTGATTGCATTTATATTCAGATATCAAGTACAAAATAAAGAAATCATAAAATTGAAACTCACGATTTCAAAATTTATGAAAACTTGCCTTAGCTGCTTGAATTTATTTTTTATCCGGCGTCTAGGAAATCTTCTCTAGAATCTGGTGTTTCAACTGTCGGCTTCATGTTTTTTATTAAGAGTTTACAAAAATATGAAAGTTTTTTGTCATACAAAACTTTAAAAGCAAAAAACTGCAATGGAGGGTGTACCTTAGAATATAACTCAATGGCAAGCGAAAATGTTTCTTGACTTTCCTTTAAGGTCTTTTTTTTGTTTTTACTGAGCGCTGCCGAAATTCATTGTTAAATTACTTCTTTTAGCATTTCAAAGCGTTGCACCAAAATTGGTGCCAAGTCAAAAAATTTAAGGTTTCCCGGTCAAAAACAAAATTTTAGTATTGGACCAAAACAGGAATTCTATAGAAAAACTTGGCCGTCAGAATTTGAAACTGCTCCACCCTCGGTACGACGCTACCTTTTATGTTCTATTTTTTAGTAGCTTTAGGGGCTAGAGGGCCCCTAACATCAATTCTAGTTACCAAAAGTTTTCGACCAGGCAATCTTCGAAAACTATTTCTGGCTGACCAACTATTGTGTGTTCATTCGGCGTTTCATACTATAAAGAACCATAACATGTTTTGCAAAATGTTCTGTGCTTAAAGGCGGATTTTTGAACACTGAAGCCAAAAATGTTTTTTTTTAAAGTTTGTTAGGAACGGATTTGATCAAAACTCGCATTGATCCGGTGCGCTCTCCCCTCTCTAAAATAGCATTTATTGGAAGCTTGGTGGTTTTTCGGCACGGCTCTAAATTTCAAAATGGCTGACCTAAACAAAAAAACCGCGCCTCTCCCGTCAAAAAAATTTGTCCACGCCAGTTTTCAATGAAGGATCAAAAAATTTTGCAAAAGATTTGCAAAAAAGTTTCGTACATTTAATCCATTTTTCTTGTCGTTCAATTACAGATTCTGGGACCTTGTTTTCTTGAATTATTTATTTACATTTAAAGGATTTATTAGGAGTGTGGGAAGTTGAGAGCCGACTTTTTCAGTTCAATCTGAATCGAAATCATGTTATATTTTTCGGTTGGGTCGTTTTGACTTTCTTTTGTCAATAGCCAAAGATGGTACAAAACTATCATGACAGAAACATCTTAAAATAACATAACGTCATTATCATTTGACCATTTGCGAGTTTTCTATTTCTAAAGCCAAAAATGAAAACCATTTATAAAAGAAAACAACAATCGCTTTTCATAAACAAGGAGTGAAAAACTGAACAAATCAACCAAAAATCGAGAAGCAATCTTCGATAAGAACATCGATCTTCCAGTTCGATAAATAGCAAGACTACAGTCTGGGTAGAAGCAATGATTTAATTTGACAGAAAAGACTATTGATGTTGTGATCTGAAGTCATTGTAGTCGCATATTAAAACATTTTCAAGCGAATGTAAGATATTCATCGTGAAGACTGTAGTAGTAAAAGACCGCCTTTGTTCTAGCAAGTGAACAGGTCCGTCGCGAGGTTATGTTTTTTTGCTAGCAAAAAGTTTTACATGGTAAGGTGAGGAGAAGAACATGGATATAAAAAATGATAACTGGAGTCAAAAGCGCTCGCAAAAAATGGGGAGTGATTTTGAGTTTTATTGCAAAGAGATTCATAAAGTAAACTGAACAGTCATTAAAATTGGAAATAGGGTAGGATTTAAAATTTTGGGTTTTAAAAAGGCCTCCAAAAGCTTTCCGATCGAAGCCTCTTCTTTTGAGCATTTGGATTCCTATGCATCTCTTTTTTACTAAGATTTGTGGATGAAGATATATCTGACAAAACAGTCGAAGTACTCCGTGAACTCTCGTCACTTTCAAAAACTCGAACTTCGGGCTCGGAATCTCCCTCAAACTGTTCAAAACTGCACTGGGAAAACTGCGCTGCGCGTCTAGTGTGTGGTTCGGAAGCTTCTAGAATATTTCCGGACGTAATCGGAAGATTATGCTGGAATCCGCTGACATGTTGAAATTTTAATTGATCTAGAAAATGATGCTGACTGTATTGTGACGTCATAACTTGGTTGGCATGAATAGGATTTTGATTGACAGTTGTGATTGGCTGCTGTGTTGGGGATGTGTTGATTGGTGGGTAAGTAGGAGGGGCACAACCGAATTGTCGTGCGGCAATGAAGTCGTTCAGAAATTGGACTGTCACTTCTAGAACATCTGCTTTTTCCAGTTTTGTGTAGGCCTGAAGAAAGTTTGAAATATTAAAACTCTAAATTTTTTTATGCTAAAGTTTTGAAAAATTATGGTGAAAAGTTTTGCGTTTCTAAAAACCTAATCATCGGAATCGAGAAGCTAAATAATTACGGTTTGCGCGGAATTCGTAACAGACGGTATTTTATTTCAACAGGTGATTCCAGAAACCCATCCCTTCAATTACATGTTCACTGATAGCTTCAAATGATGAAACAAGAGAATCTTTGAACAGTTTTAGAAAAGCTTGAACATTTTTTTTGCGTATCTGTTTTCTAAAATCATAGTTAAAGTTCCCCCTTCCCCTATTGCCAAAAGGGGGAAACTTATTACAAAGTACCAATAAATTCGCATATGCTGAAGGACTGAATGAGTTGTTTAAACGAGTTGAAAAATTTAGTATAGGAGGGGGCGGAAGGTCCAGCCAAATTACCAGAACACTACAAAAGCATTTGACTCTAAAATCTGAAGAATAAATTCTTCTGTAAAGGGGTTAAATTTGGGTTATTGATGCAATACACATTAAAATCTATCTTGGGGAACTGGTGCCATTTATGGGAAAGCGTGAAAGGTAAAGCCCTAAAAACTGAATAGCCTATGTTTGATTGGCAGATCCTAAGAATTATCACCTGAAACGACATCACGACACTATATTTCATAAGTTACGAAAAAGTTCATCAAATTATTACGAAACTAAAGTTTGGTTATAGAGTATAGATTATAGCTGAACAAAGTTAGCCCCCCTCTAAAAAGTTGTCTCTAAGCTCGAACTTTCAGCCAATCTTCTAAATTCGTTTGTTTAGTGGGTTAAATTTGTATGTTTAGAGGGGGACAATGATATTAATTTGTTCCGATTTCCGTGTGGTCAAACTGTCCACAAAAAAGGCGTTTTGCTAATTGATTAGTTAAAATGAGAGAAGCAGTTTAAAGAAATAAACTCACCGACTTGCCGAGTACTCTGAGGATGGCGTCTCTCAGCTGGTTGAGGTTGTCGTTGATCCGAAGACGACGTTGCTTCTCCACTTGTGGTTTCCTCGACTACAATTGATAAAAAATCTTCAAATTACGAAATTGATTTTTGGGCTTAAAGTATACGTATTCCTAGATTATCACGTTTCTATCAAACTTCGAAGCTTCCGAACAAAAATTGGTTTTCACATTGACACGATGCGTTTAGTTATAATAATGCGAATCAGTGACCCAAATAATGCTTTTTTGTTAGTTTATTTTTAAGTGGACTTTTTTTGTTTTGTTAGCCGCCTTCAATGCCGGGTTATAAGCTAGTCGAGTAATTATTAATTATATTTGCAGAACTTCTTTAGCGTTTTTCGAAATTAATTTTGATACCAACAAACTGATTTCAAACTTGCAAAATGGACAACTAACACACTTGTACATAACGAAGTGGATGATTGGAATTTTATTTATTGCTTTCAGAAACTCTATAGCGAAAAGCATACGTTTAAAAAAAATCACTCACCTTTTTGTATGTATTATCATAATCATCAACTCGATAGGATCTCATTCTTCGGTAATTCTTCGGCTCAAGGTGAAAGTGAGTGACCTATTAACCAAATCGAATGCTCTAATCTAACCAAAAACTTGAATAATTATTAATTATTTTTGAGGAATTTCTGTAATGTGCGTCGAAAATAGCTTTGATACCAGCTGATTTCAAGAAAACCAAATGAAATTTATAGCTAGTCGAGTAAATATTAATTATTTTTGCAGAACTTCTTTAACGTTTTTCGAAATTAATTTTGATTCCAACAAACTGATTTCAAACTTCCAAAATGGACAACTAACCGTAAATTGGATATTAATTCCGAATCCACTATACCCGCTTAAAATTATACAAACAAGATTAACAATTGGGGCTAATGAGCTAGCGAAAGTTAATTCTGTTATCTAGCTTGGTATAACTTAGTTAGTATGACCGCTGGTTATGAATTCAAAAGACGGCGCTTCATCCCTAATCCCCGGGTTTAGACTAGTTTAGACCCCGTTGGCATGAGGTGTAAACTATTGTTGTTTATATGACAGGTCCGATAACACTTCTAAGCTGCGTTGTGTACAATAAACAGAACTATCAGTAGCGAAACTCTGCTCCCAATAAACAAAGTAGAATAAGCATGATCCCTGTTTTTGAAATGGATTTGGGATACCCTAAGGTGCCTCGGTTTTGAGCTAGCATTTCGCGTCGGTGAACTTAATAACTATGTGGCTTTTTTTTCAAGATTTTCAAGTTAAAAATTCCTTCAGGTTTTCTCGATTGGATGAGTTGTCAAAAAAGCAAGGTGATCGGAGAGTACAAATGAGTTGATGTGTGTAAGGCAGACATAGATTATTGATGATTTTTTTTTGCAAATGACGAGAGAATTTTAAATATACGTTCACAAATTTCATCGAATTTAGGCCAAATATATTTACCAAAATTTGCTAAAACACTAGAAGTTGTTAATATCTTATCTGCATTAAAAATAATTTTATCAGAAAATTGTCAAAAATGCCTAAGTTTGGGAAACTCTCGAAGGTGTTGTTAACCCATTGGTTCGCGGTACAATTTTCTGTGAAGTGGAATCTTTCCTACCCATTTTTGAATAAGTATTTTTCGCAACAGTTACCGGTCTAATGCATTGACTGCCTCACAGGCAAAATACACAAAATACAGTGCTGATTTAAATTATACAAACAAAATGACCAAAACTTGAATTTACAAACACGTTTTTCTCAATTTGGTTTAAGATTAGACAAAAAATGAAGAGAGCAAAAGCTGCTTAACATTTTTTCTCCAAAATTCTAAACCAAAATTTTACCCCAAAAATGGGTCATTTTGGCTTTTTTCAATTAATCAAGAGTTACGCCGAAACTACTTTGTTAATTGATGAGAAAAATATATCACAAGAATCCTCTTACACAGACCAACAAAGTTTTGGAGGATTAAATCTCCAAAAACCAGTATAAGAGAAAATATTTTTTCTGGATAGTCATTAAATGTGATTTTTACTACATAAAACCCAAAACTTTTGCTTAAAAACAAATTTTAACCAATTTTCTCAAATTGCTGGAGATTTAACCCTTCTAGAACTTTGTTGAGCTGTGTATGAAGCTTCTTGTGATATATATTTCTCATCAATTAATAGAGTAGTTTAAGCGTAATTCTTGATTAATTGAAAAAAGCCATAATGACCCATTTTTGGGGTAAAAAATTGACTGAGAATTTCGGAGAAAAAATTGCACCATGCTCATTCTGATCAAGTTCTAAGTTTTTTTAAATTTCTTCTTTTTTTGTCGAATCTTAATATAAATTGAGAAAAACGCGTTTGAAAAATCAAGTTCTGTTCGTTTTGTCCGGATAATTTAAATCAGCACTGAACCTATAACAAAAAAATAACAGTGTGCAACAAAAATTTGATTCTACTTTTTTCCGTTCTTAGAAAATTTCTATTTGTATCCTTTGCAGAAAGTAATTCTCGGACTGTTTTATGAATCAGCAAGGTTTCGGCAACCAAAAACTACAATTGTTTTTTGCGCCAGCGAGACCACAGAAAATGTTTTTTTAAAAAAATGAGTCACTCAAACTTGGTATTCTAGAGAAGTTTAAGAGGTCTAGAGTGCGTAAGCCCACCAGGCACGGAGCAAAAATTTCTGGACGAAAAGGAAGCAACGTTTAAAAAAACGAAGTATTTTCTGTGATGTTGCGAAACACAGCCTTGACGGTAATTTGCCAATTTATCTGTGCCGCAGGCCAATGTTTGGAAGTATAGGCCAACAAGACTGCTCGTATCAAGGCGAAGAGCTGAATGTTCCGACTGAATCTTAAGATTTATGGAGTAGTGTTCATTTTAAGGAAATGGGTGACCTTTGAAAAAATGAAAAAACAATCAAGTATTTTCGTAAGTTTTTTTTAAATCATCACCCACACTCTATTTAATGTGAAAAATTGATATATTTCGCATCACCGAATTATTAAACAGACTAAAAAATCTATCAACTCAAATTGAAGCGATGTCTAAAACAATTTAAATATACGCTTATGCATTAATAGCACAAAGTATATTGCGCGTTATTGGTCCCAAATTGGGAAATTTTTAAACCCTCATAACTCTACAAAAAATACAGGTAAAAAACATAAATTTTTGAAATATTGAGCTCAGGACAATAATTTTTTTTCGAATGAGTTTGAAAAAATCCGTCAAAAATTGCTAGCTAAAAAATCGAAATTTTTCTGGAGGAAAAAAACCGCCCGAGCCTAAATAATCCATCATTATTTGTTCAACTATGATTGGAATATTTGAGGAATTTTTAACTTAAATTTATTATGGCATACAAAACTCCCTAAAAAGCACTTTAAGATTGGTTGAAAGAAAATTGATGCCGAAAAACAGGATGAACTTCCGCTCAAGTTACATATGGGAGGGGGGAGGCTCACCCCCTTTAAACCGCTACAGCTTAGGCCAAATATATTTGAGTGCTTTTGATCATGATTCCAAGACATCAAGAACAGTTTCTTTTTTGTGATGCTTACAAAGTGTGTGATAAATTGTTGGACTCATTTTTGCCCACAAATTTGGGGACAGTCAACTTTTTTGGTCTCCCTTTTCTGTCAGTGATTTGTCTCCTCTTAATAGTTTTTGTAAGTTTTGAAAAGATGCTTTTGACGCCAATAGTTAATAAATTTGAGGAGTGAGCGAGAGCCGCAAAGAGTCAGAAAGATCGTTTCGGCCTAGTTTTTTAATCCGTCTCTGAATCGAGGAACAATAAATCAAAACTAGGCTTTTTAAAAAACCTACGATTCAATTGAAGGTGAAAACTTATCTCAATTTTGAGAATCTAAATTATGAGAATATTTAAAGGAAGTCCGATCGAAGTTTTGACTTTTCTATAAAACATTTCAATTAACTCTCAACGGTTGCCAATTTAGATTGTAGAAAAAGTTTTATAGCACGTTATATGCTCGAGTAATTCCTTTTTCGGCCAATTTAAGTTTGTTTTGCAATTTAGCTATGATTTTGTTCTCTTGTTTTTTCGATACTTTAATTCCTGCAAATATTTTGTCCCAATGGTCTTTGTTCGATGAAATTAAGGAATACTTTTTCTGAGTTTTTTGTTCTGTCCAATTTTACAAAATTTGACTGCATATGGATATCGATCCGGAAACGAACGTATTGCTAACCGAGCATGCTTGCCACTACCCTAATCTCGGTTGATAGTGCTCCATTAAAGTTAATAATTTCAATGCGCGAATGAAGGTGAAATATCCCGCGCTTCCAGTTGTTCCAAACTGAGTTGAAGCAAATTCATTGGTCATTTTAACTAGAATCAAATTTAAGCATTTTAGTAAGAATTCACCAAGAAAATTGTTAAGCAATTCTTTGACGCTAGGTTTTGATTGAATGTTTTTAGCCTGTTATAATGCAATTCACGAAATTAAATTATAATCTTTGAAAAAACTGTTCAATGCAATACAGCTGATAATTCTCAAAACGTTAAACTTTGGTTTCTTTGTTTTCGTTTGTACACTGTTTACATACTGCAGAAAATTTTACTCGATTATTCCAATCACCTCATGGAGTGGAACTACATTTGTTCAAAGCAACCGCAAGTATTTGAAGAAAAGCTGATAAAGAGTAAGTGTGGTGCTCTATAATAGCCTTGTGTATCGGCTTCATAAAATTTTTCCCAAAGAGTTCTTTCAAATTACAAAATGGTGCTCCGAACTTTGATTTCAAACATCCATTGTGATTCTAAACAATGTTGAAGTTACTCTTGTATATTTTTGGCTAGCTTAAATGGGAAAAAAACGTTCCCCTAAAAAGCAGCAATTTTTTCTATATAAATTTACAGCACGGAAAAAATTTATGATTTTCAAATAATCATGCAAACTAGATTGAAACAAAACAGATAACATCAAGAAATTAGATTACACTGGTTACAATCATAATAAGAACAAACTAAACACAAAAAATTATATTTTTTCCATGAAAGTTTTTTAATGATTAGAATTGGCTGTATTCAGTTGATCAATTTTCTAAAAGTAAATCGTTTCCCTGAAATAAATAAAAAGTAATTTTTTTTTCGTTTGTACGTTTCAATTTTAAAGAAGCAAAATTTTGAAGTCGGTTTTTCAAAGTTTACCTGTGGAAGGGGTGAGATGATTTTAAGTTGGTGTACGTTGTCAGCAGCGTACTCTGACAAGATTTTGATTGTTTTCATAAATGAAGGCTTTTTATTTTGTTTTGGACAAAAAAAGAAACAACGATAAACGTATAAATTGCTTCCTTCCACACTGATTTGGGATATTGAAGAGCAGAAAAGCTTAAATTCAACCTTTATGACCGGAGTCGGATCTCAATAATTTTTTTATTCAAGAATTAAAATATGGGCTTTTCACTAGACTCATCATACACAAAATTGATTGACAGAATTGAATTGTGCTCTGACAAAAACGCGGTCTGATGAAAAGATGGACTGGTAAAAATTTTAGTCTCATTTATGCGACAAGCAAAGCACTGAAAACTAATCTATCTAACTTGCAGCCATCAAATTCAGCTTAATTTTTAGTAGATTGATAGTTACTAGGAGCCCGGGTTGACCTCCATAGACCAAAAGTGCTAATCATACAATTCCATAAACTAAGTCTATGAAAAAATACTAATCAAACAAATTTCATACATTTTGCTAAAA